TTTCATGGGACCAAAATAGTCCAGCAAATATATTTTCAGTCGAGCTTAATTCACCGAAAGAGTGAAATTTTATTCCCCAAGGACGAATTATTTCAACAATTGTCTTTTCTGCGTCGTTTCGGCGTTTTTTTATTGTTGACTTCGTCGTATCAGTCATTTTATTGTAATTCGGGTTTCCACGATAATATACAACGGAGCTAAAGAATAATAGAGTCTCGACCAAGTCAATATTGAAAGGAATAGGTTGAGGCGGATTTGGAACTGGGGATCCCAATACGATCATACCGTTTTCTCTAATTTGTTCTGTTAACAGGTTAATCTAAAAAACGGATTCATTATAAAATATTATAAAACTTTAAAGAATCATACTTAATTTGTCACCATTATAGCCACCCCATTCATTATTGTCGAACCAATTGATATAATCAAACAAACCAAAATAATTAATTATTCTTATTCCAAAACTCATAACCAAAATGATAGAAATAGCAGCAGGATAAAAAATGCACGTGAAAAAAAAATTAATTGGTCGAGTAATTGGCATTGTCCAGTCAGTTAAAAATGTATAGAAAAGGTGAACAAATATTTCCCATACATATGTTAGGGTTGAACGAGGGGGAGAAGTAGATATTACTTCATCCTGATAACATTTGAAAGTTCTTTGAGTTTCTTCGTCGGATCCCATTTTTTTTGAAATTCAAAAAATTGTGAAATGTATTTATTGTTATTTTTCAGATTTTAAGGACTATAAGAATTTTCTCATGAAAATATTTGATCTGTCTTATATATATTAATTTTTTATTTGTATATATTAAAAATAGAAGTTTATTGCTTAGAAAGTAATTTGACCTAAACACGAATAACCTTTTTAAAGTAAAATTTTAAAAAAGAGATCAACTCCGGTATTCATTGATATAATGATGTTACAATAAAGATAAAAAAGCAGGTATTTAATTCTACAACATACAAACAAATCTGACTTTAGTTTTTAAGTCGCGATATAACGTTACGCGATATTTTTAATGCTGCTAAAGTAACCATCTCCTACTTATTTTCTCATTATCATTGCTTAAAAGGGATCGAAAAGAATTTGATATTAAGACAGATGTCGAAGGCAATATTCACAATTAAGTAAATAGGATACATGCACAACGAGTATCTAAATTGCACAAATTTTTTCTAGTCCTTTTTTCTTTGATAACTAGTTCAATTGATATTACCATAAAAATAATCTTTATTTAAAAAAAAAAAACCGAAAATAATTATCAAATGTCACATATTTTATACTAATAAAACATTAAAAATTTAAAATGTAGAGACCTATCAATGAATATAATAATTTTCGAACGTTTGCTCGATCATTTTGCTTTGGTATTTTTTTTAAAAAAAAAAAAAATCCGAAAATAATTATCAAACGTTTATCACATAAAAGTTTGTTTCATACTAATAAAGTTAATAAAAACATACTAAGTCAACTAAAAGTTTGAATATTTATTGAATAAGAATTGGACTTAAAAAGTCTAAACGTTCGAAAATTATTTTATGAAAATTTTGATGTTTTATTAGCAGGAAATAAACTTTTATATGTAACAACGTTTGATAATTTTTTTTTTTTAATTCCACTATATTTTAATAAATATCTTTTTTATTCGTGATTTAAATTTTTACTAGATATTAAAGTCTTGTTTTGATATCTAAAAAATCCGAGTTATCAAAAATTAGATTTAACAATTTGTTATGATATTCCAACCGTATCTAATGTATCTTCACTATAATTAAAGTATTACTTATTAAAATTAATAAATAATAATTAACAAAATATTAATTACCGATATAATATGGAAATTCAACGAAATAAAGGAAAATAAAAATGAATAGAATCCAAAATGTGCCCGTGTCTTGTAGAAAGATTACCCTTTTTCACAAATCAAAAGAAAAAAAAACTGTTAAGGCTATAATTGAAGCAATGAGTCTTATCTAAGGCAGGCCTCAAGTCGTAGAATGGGAGGGAACAAAAAAATAAAAAAAAAAGGAAAAAAATAATAGAAAATATTAAGTAGTATTATTATTCAAAATGATCTTTCTCTAGTTAAAACTTTCATTATCGTAAATAATCATAATCTAATTGACTTTAACCATACTTTCGATGCTATCGGAGAAATAGAAATTAGGTTTTCATATATAATCAAAATGTTAAATTATTGATAAATAAAATAACTGAGAAAATCGAAGATAATATCATTATTCGGATGAATAATTCGAAAGAAAAAATTACAATATTAATATCTCTTTAAAAATATTTATGCAGTTTATCAGGATTTATCTTCGATTTTTTACTTATTTCGTTTTTGTAGTATTATTAAAATTTCGATGGTTTCCGAACAGTAATTTTTTGAAGTTGTATGCAATAAATAAAATATTGTGAACTTTGGAATGACTTTATAATTAAAGTGTAGTAACCTACATTATAACTTCATATATTAAATAAATAAGTTTTCATATTTTTATATAGGATAAAGAAAATAATTATTAGATAATAAAGTAAATACGCATAAAATACGCGGAAAAGATAAATACAGATTCAATTTAAGGCTTTATTTATAGTCTTTAGGAAAATGTTATAGATAATATGAATAAAGAATTTTATTTATATTATTAAGTGTAAATAATTAATGATCTACTTCATCAGATTCGGCTTTTCTATAGCCTTAAAGTAAGTCACAGGCCAATGATCAATAAATGGTTTAAGTGTGATTAATTTCGTCAATACCCCAAATACATCAGATATTGGATTTGTACTTAGATTTGATGGGTTTTAGGCTTCCGACCATCATGAAAGAATTGCATTTCATTGCCAATAAGATAATAATTCATTACATCCTCCTTTGTAACATATTGACGA